ACAGAATTCGAAATCTTTGTAAAAATAGGTTTTAACTAAGCGCCCAAATGGTTCCGAGAAGCGTGTACTTAGTATGATTTGATGTTTAATGTTATTTGTAAAGCTTTTCTGTTCCTCATCACATTTCAGCGCATGGAAGGATTTTATTATCAAGGTGCAGTGCTCCTAGACATATGAGTACGTTTTTAAAAGATCATTGATCAGCATATGGAACGTACTAAACCGAAACCAGATTTGAATATTCTAATTTGGCCTCATTTTCTTATCATCGACAGCATCAAAGCTCAATAAAGTGAGTTCATTTTCTGATGAACGAAATTCTAATCCATCGCAACAATAAAGCAAATGGTTATAAAAAACACATCAATTTGAACCCATGCATCGGATTATCTGCTACCAGCAATCAAATATTACGGTAGCAGCTTGATTATAATAAATAATAACTGACAATGAGGAAAGGTTAGGTTGTTAACAGTATGCAAGTATTGTTGATATTGGAAGAAATTGTATCCGGTGGCGACAGCCATTGATATTTGTAATCGATAATAATTATTTTGGGACAGCAGTAATTATAATCAACAATGTTGTTGATATATTAATCGATAACCAGGCAATTTTTGATAAAGTTTTAATCAAAAACAAAGTGAGTCATATCAACAAATTGGTTCATTGAGTTGTACTAGGCGAGCCGAATTTCGACCCTTGAAATTAATTTCGATGCCTCCTTGCCGTTATGCAGTGCTCTTCAAAAAGCCCCCCTCCCCCCCACACCTACTTCTCTTTTGAATGGGTTAGCAAGCGAAAATTCAGGGCGATGGGATTAATGGATAGTACTTTATTTAATAGTAATAGTAATATTTATTTGTCTCCAAAATACACAACCACTACACAGAATTTTATAGAGGATGAAGAGCCCGCAGAAGGGTGGCCATTGTGCGCGGGTAAAGGAAAACAGAAAATACTCATATACTAACGATGACGTAACACAATAAAATCCTTTTTTTTATTCTAATTAACAAATGAGTGATGTATATGGATTTGAGTGAAATTCCATATATGTAAGTGAAGTATGGATTGTACTCATAGAATATGGTATATCAGAGGAAGTACTAACCACTAAAGGATAACCTGTGCGTGGCCATTACATCCAACTGGACCAAAACTAAACTCAAGGATTTTGAAATACAACACTACAGATAATTTAAGATGGGCCGCTAAGGCTTAATAACTTAACTAAACTAGCGGCTGATAGATCTATCTATAACTATTTTTTCGGTCAAATCACTGACCGCTAAGGCTAAATAGATCTACACTAAGTATAATATATGAAGGCTTAAAAAGTACTGGTTTGGAAATGGAAAATTTAATCTGAGAATGACCTACAACTTACAATGTATAGCTCGTGCCTTCTATGTACATATGGATTTTAACTCTTGGGACCACGTGCAGCCAGGCTTTTATTTGTTTTTTAAATGAGTTTAAATTATTTAGTTTTTTGTAAGACGCTGGGATGGTATTGAAAATTCTTGGACAGAGAAAAATCCAGGACCTTTGTATGAGTGTTTTCTCCGGCTTTGGGACTACATTCTGAGACAGCATTTTCTGACGGGTGCCATAGCAGTGTTCAATTTGCTTCAATGAGGACTGATTTTTGTACTGAAAAGTAATGAGATTGTACTTATATAACTGTCTGACGTCAAAAACATTAGCCTCAGCAAACAACTCGTTGGAAGGATATGTCTTTCTTTTTTTGTATATCAGTTTAAGTATGTATTTTTGTACGCATTCGAGATTTCTGAGGTGACTTGGGGCAACAGCTCCCCATCCAATGATACCATAGTTTAAATGAGAGTGAACAAGTGCAAAATATAATGTTTATAAAGATTTCTCAGTCAGTAATCCTGTTAGATGTTTAAAGTTTGGTAACAGCATTCTATTTTTTTCACGGTGTATTCTATATGCTTCATCCATTTCAAGTTTTCATCGAGGATAATGCCTAGATATTTTATGTCACTGGTCCGTTTGATAGCTATTGTGTTATTGCAACTTAGATTAATGTTTAGAGTGTCGTACTCTGGCAAGTGATTTTTGTAGGAAGCAAAGGGGACAAAGTTGTTTTTTGCGATATTCACGGTCAAAAGTTTACTGTTATAAAATTCAAGAATAGTTTTAAGATCATCCTCAATGAGTATTTCTAGTTTTGCCCAGTTACACCTTCATAATATATAACTACCGTATCATCCGCAAATCCCAAAATTGTTTCTTTGATGTCCAATGAAAAAAGGTCATTTATGTAGATATTGAACAGTACCGGTCCCAAAAACCGTCCCTTGGGAGACGCCATATTGTATTACCCCATAATCACTCATTAGGTCGCTGATTCTAACACACTGTTTACGTTCTGATAGATAGCTAGTCATTAGTTGTAAGGTATTTCCCCTACTACCGTTATGTTCGAGTGATTCCAACAGCTTAGCGTGACTTACCGTGTCAAACGCCTTGGCTAGGTCCACAAATAATCCCATGATATAAAGCTCATTCAGACAGATCCTTCCAAATGAAGATCGATCTAACATACGTTTCGATGGCCACTTGTTGACTATAATGTACAAAAGCGGTTTGACACCTTGCCAGTCCGAAATTTTAAAAGATATCAAATTTATGTTCTAGAGTTACAAAGTACCTATAACTATTTCATAGATGAGGTATCACATGAACACCCATTCCATTTAAAAAATGTTCCAACAAGGCCTCTAGCCGCCATCCAGAGAATTTCAAGTGTTTTGTTTACATTAGAATCTAGAATCCATGGATTAATTTCTAGCAGGGGGGAAGCTCTTTAAAAATGCCGTGCCATGATCCGCCACTATACCTTATGCAGACTTATTTCTGTATCAGAATTATTTTGCACCCTGCTTTGGGTGATATCTGATGATTTCGCCAAACACTAAAATGTGTAGCTGATACTCATCAGCCTAGATGGCGCAGCTTAACTTATTTTTTCAAATACTTGTAAAAAGGATTGCCAAAGATGCACTGTCAGCGAAAAGCGATTTGATTTAAATTTAACTGCAACTGCAACTGCAGCTGCAACTCTAGAGAGAGAGAGAGAGAGAGAGAGAGAGACCAGAATCGCCGAATATCCTAAAAGTTGTCAATGCGCAGCCCCAAGAACTCAACTAATAGGACGACAGAAAGCTATATACTGGGAAGCTTATCAACGAAATTCAAAACTCGAGGAATACTTACGACGTATGTCGTCAAAATAAGTAGAAAATAAGAACAGTATAAGAGGCCGACTGGCTATGTCCTCGTCTGTACCCTTTGGTATAGATCAAGTGAGACTATATTTTAGATACATTTACACACAATACGTATTTTATAAAATGTGTACATTTGTGTACAGATGAGCTCATCATCTTTATAAATATTTTGTATTTTTGTTAAAGCGCCAAAGTGTGTGACTAGTTTTAATAAGCAAGTAGGTATAGTTTGTCTTGCGTTTGGTTGGATCGATAGCGTCGAGGACATTGATTTTATATTTCAAATGTAACTGCGATAAACATCTTCGAACGAATATTTGTGTTGTTCTATCTTATGATGCATTTAGCAATATTGCAAACACTGACATTGAATTGGATTCAAAATGTTTGATAAGGCGAACATAGTATAACAGTAAACTTGACGCCATTTTTAAATGGGATGTACTTACGCTTATTATACGTTTTATGTTATTTTACACAATAAAAGTGGATGAAAACTTGGACACTCTATGAAGTATAAAATGTCTTAACAACAAATAGGGTAGCAAAAGTATATTTGTTATTGCTTATTATTAGGAATTAGGAACCATGAACCGTCCCCCGTGAAAAGGCGCATTCGCTCAATCTCCCTCAATAATCGGCAATTGGTTGAAGTAGCTTATTTGCCTACCAGACATCAAAATGTATTTTTTAACAAAACAAATTGATATTGCAAGATAGGTGTTGTACCTGTAGTTCCATTTTCATGCTATATCTACGAACAGCTTTTTTGAAATACTTAAGCTGCATTTAAATGACTTTTTGATTCTTAGAACTGAATAGGATCAACTCACTGGTTTTGAAAGGAAACAAATAAACTGTTAAATAAGTGATTTCGTACAAAGCGGATAAGACAAAGCAGATTAAATTAAGTACGTCATGTAAAATGACTTGTGTACTTTTAAGAATTAATAAAATTATTTTTTGAGTGTCCAGATTAACATGCTAGAAGTCCCAATCTGTTCGAATGTCCATATACTTACTTCTACATTAATAACCTACATGAAAGTTAAACAAATCACCTATACACGTTTTTATTGTAGAATCAATACTTGGGAGCTATAGGAGCTGGTATTTTTTTGTCACTTGACTTATGTTGCTTTTGCAATGAACATTTATTACACGTTTTATTTGGAGGGTATAGAATATATATTTTTGGTTTACGAGAATTATACCTAAAATACGGATTGGCCTTTAAATGTTTCTATCAAGAAAAAAACATTTTAGAAGAAGCATTACTAAGCTGGATCTTAAAATGACCAGTTGAATTATGGCTAAGTACTTCATAGCTCTAAATACATAGACAACCGAACTTCATGCCACCAACTGCTGCGACTACGAAGGCATATCGGTACCAGACCATGTCATCAATGATCAGACTGACTAGCTGCCATGAACGACGTCCCAGCAATGCCTCATATTAATCAAGGCATACTGTGTGCACACTCACAAAAATAAGCCTCAAACTTTGAATGCCTTTCAGTGAAGTTGCTGTCCTCCACAAATCGTCAGCCAAGACCTACGAGGGATGTCTTTTAAGTGTTGCATATATGTACAAACATAGTACGCCGCGCAGATCGAACGTCAGTACTGAATCTTAACCTCACTCTTTAGTAAACTTAAATTCAAAGTTTCACAACAATACGTGCAGTGTTCTCACTACAGTGAATTTTTAAGTGTAACCAAGTCATTAGAAAAATGGAACTCAACCGAGAACATTTTCGCGCCATAATTTATTACAACTTTCAGAGACAATTATCGCAACAAGAATGCCCTGCTGAGTTACTGTCTATTTCGGCAACGAAGCGTCACATCAGTCGACATTTCCCGTTGGTATGAAGAATTCTCAGTTGGACGGGTGAGTCTTAGCGACGATCCCAGGGTGGGTGCACCAAAAACGTCGATGCTGTGCGCAAACTCATCATCGAAGATAGACATGTGACATATCGCGAGATTGAGGCGACCTTTAAGATCTCAAAGACCTCAACTCAAAAAAAATTTACATGAGAAATTAGGAGTAAGAAAATTAGTTTCTCGTTGGATACCCCACCTGTTGACTGAAGAGCAGAAAGCAGCCAGGGTTAATTGGTGTCAAAAAAAGCTTGACCGTCAGCCGGCTGTTTGGGTGTTCCAAGGTGAAGAAAAGCCAACAAAAGTCATTCGTTCTCGAAGTGTTTCGAAAAAGATGGTCGCGACATTTGTATCAAAAGTGGGCATATTGCAACAATTCCTCTTAATGAGCAAAGAACTGTTACTGCGGATTGGTATACCACCATTTGTTTGCCAAAAGTCATCACCGAGTTTAGAAAAATCAACCCGGAAAGAAGAATCAACCTTCACCAAGACAATGCAAGCTCGCACACAGCCCCAAAAACAAGGCAGTATTTAACGGAAGAAAACGTGGAATTATTGGACCATCCTCCATATAGTCCCGATCTAAGTCATAACGATTTCTTTACTTACCCGAAAATTAAAAACAGACGGCCTGGTCAAAGTTTCCAGTCACCAGAAGAAGCAGTTGACGCATTCAAAAATGCCGTTTTGGATCTGCCAGCAAACGAGAGGAATAAATTGGTTCGAGCGCATGCAGATGTGTATTATCTTCGTGGAAAATACTTCGAAAAACAATAAAGTCATTTAAAACTACCTACCGTGTTGTTTTATTTCCATATGTAAAACTTACAAGATATCGTACGAGACAAATATGTATAACATGATCAACCAAGTATCTGCAAAGCCGCTTAGCCAGATGATGGTGGCTTGCGATCAGCATGCCACAACCGATCGAAAGTCTTTGTAATAGTTTGGTGTACGTACTCTTGGTACAGCCCTCGTAAGTAGTACCGGTTCTGCAACCAAATGGCGCCCATGATCAAGACTTCTATCATCCTGGCAAAAAAGCCATTGGCAGCATTGACGTCGAGTCGTACTCCTCCACACCATTTGTTATAATTGCGACGGACAGGCTCGGGCGTACTGCCGATGTCGGCTGGGTTCCCACAATTCTTCTCCACGGTATTAATTGCGATACAACAGCCTTTTGTTTGTTATATTGTATGGCTCTCGCGCAGTACATCTCCGTTAAATTACTACGACATCAGAGGTGTATGATTAACGCACCACAACAAGGTTTCATTGAGGAGCAGCGGCTTACGTGGAAGGGCCTCTATAAGGCACATCTGTCTGTCAAAGCTCACAAATCAGAAATGAATACGTGCTACATTCTTTGTATCTAGGATAGTGCGCCATTAAGCGTAAAGTTTTTATTTGAGATTAAGCTCAACTGCTATGTTTTCTCGATGCCTCTTTATGAAGCAGAGGCGTCAACCTACCGTAAGGTCCTAAAACATTATGGGCCGATAAAGTAAAAGACTCATTAGTACCCTAAAAACTCAATGAGGTACTAATAATTACCGCCAAAACAAAAAAATTACAACATTTAGCAAACATACTAGAGCATTGTATGAGGTAGGGTAAAGTCGGGTAATTTGTACCACCTAGCATGTTTTATGAAATAACTTGTTTGAATTGAAGGAATTTAGATAGTCTGACATGTTTATGTCAAAATGCACAACTGGAGACTGATGTTGCAAACGGTACAATTTATCGAACGGCACCTGTACTACACATCTTGAAAAGTGACATTTTCTGTTTTTTGTTTGAAATTTAGGGTCGATTTCACCAAGGTTGTCAAATCAGCAGTCCGTTATTCTCCACCTATAGGGTAACTGTCAAATACAACAAATGAGCTTCAAGTTCCAATCACCAAATTTTAGCAACCAATAGCTATGAAATGTTGAAAACAAAATACTGTCAAAGTATGAGATGAAAACTTGTCATTGAAACATCACCAGCTTATTGAATATTAAGAAATTACATATGATTCAGTCAAAATTTAAAGACATGTTGGATTTTTGAATAAAATTCATCTTTTAATTACTACTGTTGATTTTTTATTCATGTTTTTTCCTCTAAACCTCTTGCAGATAGCCATTAAGCACCTACTTGATGACAGGCTATACCAAAAGATATTGCTCGTTTAAAAACATTCATTCATTTACTTGCCGTTCATCAGAACCATTATGGCGCCTTAGATATTCCCACAAAACCATTAAAGTTTTTTGATATCCATACATCCATAAAGTTGAATATTTGTCGTTGTTCAGGAACTGAACAAACATCCACACTATATTCACAGCGATTAAGAAATTCCCAAATATATAGCTTAAAGCTACCAGCAAACCTAAAACCTGCAAAAAAAAACTACAAATTTGCCATATTTTTCTTTTTTCACGAGTACACATTCTAGGTTATATTAATATTAGACATTATTTGAATACAGCTGATTATTGCATTTCAAGGAGTGACACATGTGTGGGATGTGTCAACTCTTGGTACCAGTCACAAAACATATACTCTGAACGTTTAATTCCATGCTATTCAATGACAACACGGTGACTTGTGTGGTTGTCAGTGGACATTTTGTGAGGGTGCGCAGAGTTGCCAGATTGTGCATTAATATCCCGTTTCACCCTCCTGGTCCCAGTGGAGTAAGTTCCGCCAACTGTTGAAATATACTCTATTATGCTTTATAAGACTATTCGTGACATTTTTCCCAAAATCATTGCACAATACTTGAAAAAATGCAAATGAAAATTTAAAATTATTTCCATGACGCCGCAAAATAGCTCCGTTGGTACCTTGAGCTATACATCTTGACAGTAGGGATGTTCGATACGATCCTATATTTAGAAGTATCAATACATTTCACGAGTATCGTCATCTTTCGATCCGGACTGTGCCAGAAAGAGTAACTGCCATTTGGCTGCGACATTACCCTGCCAAATCAGACATATCTTTCATCATTTTCAAAGAAATTGTACAAAATCTTCAAATTTTGGGAAGTTAGCGAGATTCACATCATACGTTGATACCAGAGATGCCCAAATCATCAGTTGCTGCCGTGATATTCATCCCGACCACTGCATCCCCACGGCTAGGCGACCTGTATGTTAAATTTGTATTGATAGGGCAGCGGGTTATGCTATAAATCATATGTCACAGTGTCTGTGCACTGATTGCAACGGTTAGATGATACCAAAAATATTTTCATACATAGGAGATCTTTCCTATTCCGGATCACACAATCTACCAAAGATGCTTATAATCAAGATACCTAGTAAATTTTCACGAAAAGAATTCAAAACCAGCAAATGTAAAAGAATCATTTCGCACCCTCCACCACGGGACGTGATCGTCGTTAGACTTGGCAACCCTGCGAGTGACAGATAGATATCCCCACCAGTCAAAAAGAAAAACATTACTAGTTTTTATGGTGTTTTGGACTTAAAAGACATTACTTGTGAAACATTTTTCATAATTTTTTGTCTATGTCGATAGTAATTGCACTATGCATCAGGGAGATGTAGGGATTGACACGTCTTACACTTATTATCTGTGTTTTAGGATGGAGAGCACATAATGTTTTTGAAGAAATTCATTAACCCATAAATTAATAAATGATTACTATTATGACGTAAAGGAAGATGAGGAATTGGATGGAATGTATTTTATATTCTATTTTCTTGCAAAATACGGACAAACTATTCAACAGGTATGTAATGATAACTTTCAGTATATTGAAGTTGGTAAATTCGAGAGTGGCATGCATTAACAAACGTCCAAATCTGCTGCCAAATTTAACAGCTAGAAAATCGACCTATTATTTGCCTCATTCCCATTGGCTTTTGGGGATAACTGATTGTTAAATGTAAATTTATAACACAAATCAAAATACATGAACGTTGACCTGTTTTCTGTGTACAAAAGCATCATGTTGGAATCAGGAGGTGGTCTTGTTTGTAATACACTAGAATTTTCACGATTTTGTTCAATATTTTAATAGAAATCACTGATATTCTGAGACCTTTGACAGCTTCTGTCAAATTGCATTTCGATAAGGTATTTTGCCATTGGTCCATAATATTAATGTTGGTGAAACCGGCCCTTAGTAGGTTTTTTTTGTGACAACGTAGGTTTTTCTACAAGAAGTTAAGTTAGCACAAGCTGTTGTTCATTTGCTCTGAACTCGTTTTGTAAAACTACCTAGTCTGCAAGATGACATTTTTTGGCGCCAAGGGGCAACAAATAAGCTAAACAAATCGCGTTAAAAATCTATTATTCAGGAAAAATATTGAGATGGTACAACTCAAAGATACAACATAACTGACTTGCCCCTAATTAAACGATGATGACTGCTGTCAAAAGTGACCTACTGAAGAAACGAAATACTGCAAAAATTGATAATTGATGATTGGTGGATAATTGAGCCTCTAAACCTAAACGTACAATATTTGTCTATAACTATGGCATCGTTATCATCTTATAGCATATGGCTAGACTATATATTTTGGCTACATCAATTTGCAATATTGTATGGTGTATGCAATGTGTTGACACGTAGATACAGTTTTAAGTATTTCTCATAAGGAGCATAAGGAGGGCTACAAATCTCTCAAGAATGACGAAATTCTATGAGTGCGGTAGCTTACGTTATTCACTTTACATTACAATAAGTAGGATTTCGGTAGTTCGGCAATTGGAATCCGGGTGTACCTTTTAAAATTTGCATATTCAGCATGGTTTTATGTACAATTTTGAAAATTTTCAGGATTGAACACCTCCTCCCCTGGGAAAATTTGCTACTCCCTGCTCTACAAAAGGTTTTGTGGACAGGTACACTTTTACAAAAATGCATCTCTTGCCGATGATCCTCTCGCCTCGAGAAAAATTCCTGCGAGCACCCATGATCGGAAACGTCTAACGGTGTAGCAATATAGCCAGGCAATACTAAAGATATTGCCGTATGTTGCATCCACTAAGATCCAACATTCTGTATTGCGACCATAGGCGCGTAGCCATTGATTTAAAGTTTCCTTTGTTTTTTGGGACATAGCTGTGACAAATTCTCATAAATGACGCTAGGGTGAGTCACATCAACTCCGATATTTTTTGACGCTCGAATATAGCATCAGGTTGGCTATATTCTGGTAGAATACGATAATCGTTATATGAATACATAATTGGATGCGCCACTGGAAGGCTCTGATGTCGATTAAAAAAGTTTTCGTGGGCGTGGCTTTCATCATTTGACAAGGACAGAAAGGGATTTGTTTGCAAATGCGCCTCCCTCTCAATTTTTTCACGGTCGGTTTCTTCGATAAACACACACGTATGATGACGCATTTACAAAAGATGCACGCATATCATTACGATGGATACTATTATTATGACTCACACTGAGTCTAGTAGATTGTGATATCTGTTAATCTCTTTCTATTCACCGCTCATGTAATAGCTTTCTTGAGTAACCATTGGCGTTTACAAGTGGGGTTAAGGGGATAATCATCCTCCCCACACCAACTAAAATCAGTATTCTTCCGTGAGGATTCGACAGACACTTGCAGGTGAAGACGGGCTGTTAAGGATATTAGAGAAAGTCTTGAACAAAACGACTCTATTCGAATTCAAGGTTTGGTTAACGCTCATCGGCTTTTTCAGGAGATTAGAGGTGACAATTCACCGCAACAAAAACTTACGGAACATGCGGTTTGTGCAGATATTTCGCCTGGATAACAAATGTATTG